CCTTTCTCCACTCTATGGGTATGAAAGCCTCCCTCCCTCCCCCCAAAGCCGTTTTCCTTCCTTCACCTTAAGACAACAAGGCGTCCCCTGCCATAGATACACGTTTCTCAAAAATGACAATTCATAGGCCCATTCCCCAGCCGAGTCACTCTTATTGCAAGGGGTAAACTAAAAATAAGTAGGGATTTGTATAGGTCTATAGTAACGTCCCTTCCCGATAGGACCAAGTCAGTTGGGAACATTCGTGTAAAGTGTCTTTTCCGAGGACAGAAAGTCGGGCCGAGCTCACCCTCGAACCACTGACCCGTGGCCTTGTGATCTTTATCTCTTTGCATTCCCTTGCTAGATCTCAGGGGTAGAGTCTAACTTATTGCTTGTTTTTCAACTGCAGTGCACCCATTTTTTAAGTATGTCACTTTTTTAATTTTTCTTTTTCTTTTTGTTTTTGTTTTTACTTAGTAGTAACCCTACTCTGAAGGCAGTCACACTTGAATAACCTTACGATTACAATTCCGTTATCCCAACTACTAGTACTAGACAACCAACACCACAAGAGATAAACCGACGAAGTGCTCAATAGCTGAACAGAACGTACATAAAACGGATCTATAGCGGGTATACAAAACGTTCAGGTCATGCGAGGTGGCTTTAGAGCTCTTTTCTCCGTTACTCACAGAATACTTCAGTTCGAGTCCTCAGTTGGGATTTTTTTTCCCCTAACGAATATCTGTGTCTGTCAGCTGGGACGTTGTATCCCTCTCAGCCTGGGTTGGTCCTTACTTAAAAGCATCCCGCCTCTTAATGTGATCTATAGCTTGTTCACTTCCGTCTGAACGTGTTAAAAAAATTAGAGCTCATTTACTATTATAGTAGCCTACCTATGCCCACGAAACTTTGCATAGCACTTCTGCAGGCAAGCCACCAAAGAAAATTTTTTTTTCTCCAAAAATCTTGATCTAGTAATAAAACAGTTTTTCTCTTTGGGTCCTATATTTTGCTTTTTCTCCTATACCGCTTTTTGGGTGCTTTTAGGGTCCCTAAGAAATGACTTAAACAGGGTGGGGGGGCTCTCGTGGCATTGAGGTTAAGGGATTCGCCTCTCATTCATAGGTTCCGGCCGAAACATTATCTTTTCTAAAATTGTCTCCTTTCACCTACCTTTCTGCTCTCTAGAAATTTTCTGTCCTCTGCTTTCGTCTCCTCTTTCTGCCTCCACCCCTTCGCCTCATTTACCCTCTCCTCTTGGCTCCTGGCTCTTTCTGCAGCCTTTCTATTGCTACTTCTTACTTCTTGGCTCCTCCTTACTGTTGTCTTTCAGCCGCAAACCCCTGATCTTTTGGTAGGAAAGATCTACACCTAGCCTTCTCGGACAAGGGCGAAAAATCTCGGAGGTCCCGTGTACAAGTTGCGCACGTTGAAGATTCCCTGGTGGTCTAAAATTGATAAGAATAGGCTTCGGCCGCCACCCGGGCAAAAATTCAAAATTTCCTACAAACTGAGAAATGTTTGATGTGTCCCATGTGCTCGTATGACCGAATGCAATTGCGAGCGCCGTAAAACACTTATTTAAA